GCTAGTGAATGACATAATACATTCCACACGCGCTAATGAATGACATAATACATTCCACACGCACTAATGAATGACATTATGCATGTCACACACGCTGATACATGACATAATACATTCAACACGCGCTAATGAATGACATAATACATTCCACACGCGCTAATGAAGGCATACTACCTTCCACACACGCTAATGATAATTCAAATAAGATAAATACAACAGTCTTATTCTTGAAATCAACCTCATAAGTATGCTAGTCTGCTAATCCTAGCTGCATCATATTTAACGTCAATTTTATACATGTATCTATCGTATCATTTTTATGTTCATCTTAAACACGTTTAATTGAGAAATACATCATTGACTTTGTATCAATTTTTATAAGACATTTTTGAGTTGTTTCGAAAAAAAAGATTTACCAGGACGACCTTCTGTTTTGCTTAGATATCATTATAATTTTCTTCACCATGTCTTGATTACACTTGTTGTCTCTATGTTGGTTATCAATTAATTTCTGTAAATAAGTTAAAAATGTCAAACAAAAGCCCTCGATTGTTCCCTCAAGTATCATTAAGGGTTTGGAAAAGTATTGAACACTTAATAATTCGGACAAAATGACATTTCATATACATGTTTGCTACACTGTAAATACAATAAATCTGCTTCTATCTTTCAGACGGGCTCAAAGTTAAATTTTGAGAATGGCATATCGTTTGGCAAGAAGAGGATTTAAGTTATGATGATATGAAAATATTTAATACCATTGTCAACAGGTTTATGTGCATTAGGGTTGAATTATTGAATTTGACTGCTGACCTCAAAATAAAGGGTTGTGGTATTACATGCATGAAAACGAAACCATAAACACTATAACTCCCTATTTGTTGATTTAAAATGAAGCAGATAAGTGTTCTTTACTGTAAGCAAACTTAAAATACGATTTAATGAAGAATTACTTTTTAGTCCTCAGACATACTGACCTGTATTGTTATGACAGTGGATAGTGTTCATCTTGTCTGAATAAATTAGACTAAATCTAGATTATGACACTCTGGAAGGCATATTAATTTAATTAGCCTTCGTCTGTAGATACACTGTACCATCGTTCGTAAGCGTGGGCGCTTAGGGGAATGATTAACAAAATATACCATTTTGTTAGATCGTAAATACGGACTCAAACAATCACAAATAAACCTTTTTATGGACTATTAGTAGATAATTCGCTGAATTGTGTTTGTTAGTGTTTTATATAAATAGCCTTTTATGGTGAACCACAATACGTCATCAGCTTAGTAAGATGTAACCTCATCATCACTCACTAATGACCTTTAGTGAACTCATCCGCACCCACAGTTTCACCTCTCGCTGTGATGAAACCTTCAGTACGGCTGTTTACGTGGATAAACAGTGTCACTTGCATCCTGTTCATTTATCATTTTATGTTACCGGTCTGTTGTGAACGTGATGTCGCCCCAAGGGAAATACAATTTTAACGTACATTTTATAAGCCTATAATGTGACTACATGCCTTAAATTTATATTATTGTTAAAGTGTCATCCTTTACCCTATATCTACAGAGAAAGACATGATCACTGTGCATTGTGCGTATAGAAATTTGCACTTGAGATCCGTTGAATTATCTCACTGCAGACAAATCAACTATTATTTTGAACTTTATATATATGTTTCTATCCATACATTGTAAAACAACCAAGTACAAACTCTTTCTCATTAAATACACACACGCTTTCATGCTTGCAACATTTATATAAATATAGGTAGTGTAAACATGTGTTAATATAACATAACAAGAACAGAGGATAAAAGAATCGAAATAGAAGGGACCGTAAAAGGAAAAATACTTCAATTCCTGTTGGTAGATGCTCTTTTGTAAATTAAAATAAACGGGCGAGCAATATTGAAACATTCTAGTGTTAAACAGCTGTTGGCTTAGGACTCTCAGCGAACACATTTCCTCCTCAAAAATAGATATATTCAATAAATTGTCAAAGCATTTTCACAGATCTAACTATTTAATTTCTCAATTCAGCATTTTAAAATTTCTAAGAGATGAAACATTTTCACTGAATGCAATATATTCTTGTGCTGAATAATCTTAATCTTATTAAGTTATATAGTTTAGCTATTTTCTTCTGTCATCGTTTTCTGTTTTCCTGCTTCAAGAGATGTACCTTCCTGGGCTGAGTCTGCCTCTGAAAAAGGAATAAATGAAATAAAACGAATAATTACAGATAGACATACCACTACCATATTATGGTCATAAACAAAGTTCTTAATTACGATAAACAGGTGTAGTTGTGTGAATATTTCTAATTACCACGTGCAACAATAACAGACAAAAACATTTTGAAACAGACAGTATTCGCCTTCATGATGATCACATTTTTTTCGGTGACATTTCGAATACGCGTGTTAAAACGCACCAGGCTGTATTTTGCTTTCACTAAATTAAACAGCCATACATTGCATATTCCTGTCAGATATGATAAATAATCATGCAAGAAAACGATATGTAAAGTCTTGCTTTTGTTCTTATAAAACAAGATATAAAATTACAATTCATGTAAAATTTCGCTGCAAATATCTGAATGCATAAATAATCATGTAAATTACTCATACATTTTACGACCTTTGTAACTGTATATAAATCACCGAACGACCTATCATTGAGGTGTCCTGGTTATGGCATTCCACTAACACATCCTTCCAGAACATAAAAACAGGACAGTAAACTGTATCCTGTTCGTAGATTATTTTGTGGTAAGAATTGTGTGATTTTATACCTTAAAATATCTTAACCTTTTACATCTTATAATTTGTATGCGGAGACAAATATCTCAACTATCGTCTTGAAATGATGTATTCGGAATTCTTTATTAAGTAATGCAAAATTATATAAGTAATTGAGTGAATTGATATATATTACTATGATATATAAAGAATGGGATACGTGATTATATAAACTATTGAATATGAGTTTATAGAATGAGTGACACGAATTATATGGAATACGAAACTGTTTTGAAATATGGGATTCAGGTTGTTTACAATGCGCATAAAGAAATTTAGAAGAAAACTGAAAACATTAATTGTAATTGACGATCGAATCACGTTTAGCGTATATTTAAGTGCATTTTTTTCATGAATATTATGTTTTATCAACAAAATGGATAGGAAACTTTTTTTCATATTTAGAAGCGATTAATATTTGATTAAAAATTAATAGTCATCGTGATACTGGGACACATCGGTTGTAAAACCAAGCACTTTATTTCCTATATATAGTGAGTCACGTTCTTTTGCTTTTGTCAAAGTATAGGACGTGATATCTTAATATGAATGATTTCAATATCTTAGCACGTTATTCGACCAAAGACGTTGAAATGTTTACTTTTGAAATTACCGTGGGCATAGCTTGCATACCGTCGGCACATAGTGAGCACAACTGTGCTATTTAAAAATCGATCGCCTCGCTGTACGATAAAACGTACACGTATGTAAGGCTTGTGTGAAATAAGACACATCGTATACGTATTTAATAATCGATTGGTATATTTTGCTCTTTTTCCAATTACTTAATGAAAGTTACACACTATTGCAATGAATGAAAAGTGTCAGTTATGGAGTTGCATTGACAGGTATATTACTACATGTTGTACATAAACCAAGTGAATTGGCCGATTAGACTTCATTGATGAAGTGGTATTATCAAAATACAACTTTGTTTACATTTTATATGCGTGTACAGTACGTGCATGTATATGATTGTTTACTTAAACACTTGCCGGTTAAGGTCATTTCAATTTCAAAACAGTGTTGATATATGAAAAGTGCATTACTGATAAATAAATAGATTACCATGTAAATCTGACTGAAATATGGTATCATACTTCAATAAAAAAGACGCAATCTATAAACGAAAATGCATTTATTTATAAATACCACGATACCTTCATGTAACGAACAAGTGTGTGATATTTATTACACAGTTGTGTGCACGTTATCGTCGCACAGTTTTTCATCGTGCCCAAAACGCATATTGTTACACGTTGTTTGACCCAAAAAATGTAATATGAACGGACGTTATTATACACCCCCTGGACTATGATCTGGTTTTTGTTTCCCATTATTTCATAAATCATTCATTCAGTGAGACGACCATATTAGTATTTATTTTTTACGGGAATTGCCTTGTTTAAAACCTCGCCTATTTATTGATATAAAGTATGAAATGATAAATCATTCCCTTCACGCCTAAAACGTGTTAAAACAGGATAATTCCTACCCGTACCGGATAACCAGGCCGATCGTTTTTGTGATTCTTAATAAGGTGGTCTAGATGGTGTGTCTATAAATACCGTCACGGCTAATGAGTTCACCGGGGCATTCATAGTGTGACAAATCTCACCAAGGATAGGTTGATTTTCCATCCAGTCGTAGATCAAGAAATGTTCGGGGCCATGTTGTTTAAACGCTCGCTCAGCTTGACCGCAACCTAACGCAAAATTTTATTCGAGTGTATTCTTTAGGAAAAATAAATCAAATTATATTGGTATGCCACAAAACTCAAAATGATCACCTGGTAGCAACAAAAACACACAAAGTAATATTAAAAAGTATATATATATTTCAGTAGGTCCTCAACGAATAACATTTTAAAATTTGCGAAAATGCCACGTCAAGCTAACCAGACCTTGCACAACTTGAACCTGGTAATTACATTCCTACCTAGGCTTCATTTTTTCATTGACGTACTTTCCTGTAATGAGTAACCAATAACGGATGTAGGTATTTAACAAGCCAATTACACGAACGTTCATTATCCAATAACCGTCTATGCACAGCACGTTCTCATTGATAATGTGCTTTTATACATCGTAAACCTAAATAAACATTTACATCCGGCCGTCCCACTCACTTTAACATCAGTGTAATATAAATGATAACGGTGTTTACAAATAAAATAGAAAAGGAAGCATTTTCTCCTAGATACACGGATGTGTATATGTATAAAAGGATCATGTCAGAATTGATTAAGGTAGTCTGAACTGATACTCCAACATGGCGTTATTTGTGTTTTCACTGTTCCTTATAGTGCATTTGTCTTTCGCATATTATGCTAATCGAGATACATGCGATTCCAGAATAGAACATACATTCACTGTCATTGACTATGACTGGCCGAATGATACTGCTCGCGAGATGGCCATCAGAAATGAATCTTACATCCCGAACAACAATATCATCAGTGGAATGAACGTCTATAATGACGCTGTCTACGTCACCGTACCAAGATGGCGCCGCGGAGTCCCGTCAACGCTTAACAAGATTGTCATAAAGGATGGCATTTCGATTCTACAACCGTACCCTAATTGGGAGTCGCAAAGAGTCGGTGATTGTCATGCTCTGCAATTTGTTCAAAGCATAGCAATCGACCCGAATACAGGATGGATGTGGATTATTGATACAGGACGAATTAACTTTTTTGCAATTGATGGAACTCCAACAGAAAATCTCTGTCCAGCAAAGATCATCATATATGACATTGACAATAATATTGAAATCACCCGTCACGAATTTCCTGATAATGTCGCTAACCGTAAACGAACCTTTCTAAATGACATTGTCATTCAGTATAGAGGACAGAGGGCCCGCTATGCCTATATTACGGACGATTTTGATACACGTCTTATTGTTTTTGACAGAAAAAAGAACACTTCCCACTTTTACTCGCATCCAGAGTCGATGTTACCGGAATCAGGGAATGGAAATATCACTATTTTGGGTGAAACACTTGCGGTGTCGGATGGAATTAATGGGATTGCGTTATCGTCTGATATGAAATTTATTTACTATGGTCAACTTTCTGGATTCTCCATTTACCAGATACCTACAAAGGTTGTGAGGAAACCTGGTAAGGACTTCGACAGATTTGTTCGTAAGGTCGGAACCAAACCAGCGCATGCAGCTGGTATGGTGTACAGTAAAAACCACAGCTTGTATTTTGGCGGTCTTGACGATAACGCCGTTTATAAGTGGGATGTGGAGAAGGACAGAAGGAAACAGCGAACAACATTCCGAAAGGTACAAATGAAAACCGTACAAACGTTCTTAAAGGATGATTCATGTATCAACTTTGTAGATATATTGAATTTTGATCAAAATGATAACCTGTGGTTCTCTGTCAACAAGTTGCACAAATTTTTCCTTGGAACGATGGATTTTTCGGGGAATAGTGGACCGAACGTTTTAATAATGAGAGCAAAGGCAGGAACCACAGGGTACCTTGATCGTCGGCGCCGGTACAAGCCATACTAAAAGACAGTCATGAACAATATCATATTTCACATATATATGTATAATTATGAGTATTTTAGTCAGAAGACATTGATCTTTTTAGCATTGATAAATACTAGTGAATGCGAGTTTAAAAGCGATAATGACAATACAATTTAATGTTATATTGAAGCACAACTTAACTTATACAACAAACACGGACAATCGCAGAATCAGTATATCAGCGGAGAATGCATGCTGAAAAGTCTATCAACTGATGGTCGATCTACTTGTTATACTATTTCTGATTTCTGAAACGACAATGAAGCCTGTTGGTGCTATATGTTGGTGTTAACTAAATTGTTTTCATGACGAAGTTAAACACTTTCTATAAAATGTTTAACCTGACAATTTCAAGTAATATGGACAATTTAAACTTGTTTATAATAATGATTGAGAGCTATCATTGATGCATATTTTAAGGAGACTTCATAAAAAGAAATGAAGATAAAATGAAATATCAAATTTACAAAATATTTATCGTTTAAGGAGAATTATTCTGTATATCAAATAATCATTATTGACGATATAATTATTCGAGTTCATAAATCGATCAGAACAAGGCTCTAATCCCGCCACAGGCTGCTTCCTTTACATGTACAGTGCGTGTAGAGCTCATCGAACTGGTAAATAGCGCTTAGCTAGTCATTTACATAAACGGCGTAAGTGCATGCCTGATTAAGAACGTTAAGTTAGTTTCACGTGGATTTTAATGCGTTTAGGATAAGCCAGTCACGTGTACGTCCACGTTGACCGCCTCTTAGTATATAAAGGCAAGGCATCTCTGCTCTCCGAGTTTCTATCCTTATGGCTGGAACTCAACGCATCGTCAGATCCCTCCGTGTAAGGCAACATATTGAAGGGTGAGGGAACAAGTTTAAGGAGTTATCGCCCATGTAATTTACACGGCTACATTATGTTTGGGTGACAGGATGGGATCGTCGGTAGTATTACATTTTGCGTTTGTAAAGCGATACCGTCAAATTGCGTCAATAAAGGTTTTTCTTCTTCTTTTAAATAGCTTTCATAATTCTTGACTGTTTTCAGACTCATGTTGGAATATCTAGCAGTGTGTTAGATATAAAAACAATTGTCTAATGTTGATGTCATCGTGTTTCGTTTTTTAAATATAGAAGGTAGCATCGATGTAGGACCGTAGCTGTTGCGAACACCTTTAACAAAGAAACCATGTGTAACTTTTATAAGTTACAGAGTCTTACAACCTTTATAATGAATGCCAACCTTTATTATATGTTTGTAAAATTGTATATACCTTCTTCAACATATGTAAAATAAATTCGATATAATATATTTGTGTTGATGAATTCTTTATTGCATGATAGATGTGTTATACGATGTCTCCTGATGAAAAGAAAACCAACACTTATCACATTCATACAATGTAAAAGTTTAATCTTCTCATACTCCAGGCAACAGATTTATCAACGTTTTGTGCTGTGTTCGTGCTTGACATGACAATTTACAAACATAACAACGTCTATTTTGTCGCCCGGTTAAAAAGTAGACTAACGTGCAATGTCCAGGTAATGCCTCACATTAATGTAAAACTACCACGTGGAAATAAATCATCGCTGCTACGTCACATTTTAGCTATTTACTATTTGCGTGAAAAAATAAAAGACATGTAACTCTGCTTAAAAGTAGTATTAGTTATGACCAGATTAGATAAATGCGCAACGGTACAAATGTAGAACGTTACGTTGACAGGGTCAAGGATGTGGTCAACAGAGAGCCGTTGTTGAGCTGAATTGACAATGTGTAACTGTTTTTATTTATGAGTAATATTTGTTTACATGATACTACAATTTATATAACCACAGTATTTAATAAACAAATTATTATTGTCATGTAACAAGCTACAGGCATACGTATTGTTTGCTGAACATATGTGTGTGCTGCTGAAAGGTCACAATAACATTGCAACCCAAGGTCATTAAGATGATACGGAGCTATATCAGCTTTATTTGGAAATCATAGCTACCATACAGCTTAAATTGCCCGTATCCACTCTGACCTTGAACCAGATTACGTTGATATGGTTATTCAGGCTGTCTTTAGCACAGGATGATGATATTGAATAAATCCCAAGGCGGCCCTAGTCCGGCATTGACAACCATTGGTCAGTTGAATGGTAACTTGAGCCGCAGGTAGCTAATTGTGGGGGAGATAAAAGTCAATAGATATCCGAAAAGCGTGTTTACTCATGTCCACTTAGCATGGTCAATGTTGGAGATTAAATTGAGGAAACTACTGGCATACACATGATTGCAGAATGAATTTACTCACATATGATTATATTTGAACGAAAAAGGGTGTATTTATTTCCAGATTGTCGCCATCTTGCATTGTATAAAGTACAAACCGGAAAAGAAAAAGAAAAATACGGAAAGTTGGTAATCCAATATAAGTGCAACACTGACAAACGTAACTTCATTAATTAAGTCTTATTAGACTTAATGCTGTTTTTTTTAAACAAAACATGCATAAACTATTTTTTTCAATCTACATTGACTTTGTTTAATATTCTTAAATTATTGTTTTTAACTTCTCCTTTCAGTAACATATTCATAAGTAATAAAATAATTACTATTTATTATTCCCTTCATTAGGTTGGTAATCGCATCTCTTTCCAAGAATAAACAGTTTACCTATATATATCTCTATGGTCTGACAATTAGTCCCGTATGTAATCTATGCCCATCAGGAAGAGTCGCATCACCAAATGTCCCATGTGTTAATATAAACAAATGCGATCTAATATATAAGGTGGTATTTTAGTTTTGTAGCGGAACTTCGCCCGAAGACTGCTGGTGAAACCTGCTTTTTTTATGTGTACTCTACAACAAACCATATCAAATTGAATCAAAGTTAGTTGCTTTTTAAGGAAGTGCTACTTGTCAATATGATATATCTACAAACCTATAGTACCATACATGTCGTAATAAACTGTAAAAGGAAAGAGAATAGTGTGTTTCTACCGGGGATCGAACCCGCGATCTCCAGGTTCCTAGTCGGACGAATTACGTCTGATCTAAAGGGAAATTACTCTAGCTCGAAGCTGGAAGGCGACCGTTATCATTTGTACGGTTAAAATCTGCCCCACTACTCTCCTCTTCTTTAAATTTGTTCGCCTTCGAACGCCACAACCCAGGTTCTAACTCCCTGTCACCACAGGGAGGGCAACGGACACCATTTGTTACAGGAAAGAGAAAAGTGTGCTCCCAAGGGGATCGAACCCTCGATTTCCAGGTTTCTAGTCGGACGCTTTACCACTCAGCCAAGGGGAAATCCCCTCTAGCTCGAACCTAGAAGGCGACTGTAATCCTATGTATAATTAAAACCTGCCACAAAACATAACTTTCAATTACAAAATGATGCTTATAATTGTGTTTATATTGTGTTTTAATTAAAAATATCATTGTATAAATATACATAAAAAAAATTAACGACATCACATCATGTGCATTTAGTATTGAAATACGTTTCCCGCATCTACATGAATCTAGGATCCTTAACTACAAACTAAGCATATGTAGGTTTCCAAACATTTCAGTATCGAAATGGAAAACAAATGTGGGGATTAGATAAAAAATACACTTATTTTACAAAAAATGTCAAAAAAACTAAATCATTTTTTGTAAAAATCAAAACATCCGAAGTATTGTAAACATACCAGCTAGTAAATAAATTGAGAAAATACTAAAAGCAGCAAAATAATCCTAGTACACTTAAAGTAATCTGAAGTGATTGGTGTGTTTATTGCGTTGATATTGGTAGACCGTCAAGAGAAGTATACAGATATACTGGCTGTTACAATACCGTACAAGTCATAATCTCTCGTTCAATGTTTACCCTGGAAGAGACCTCTGGTTTATGCCTGATAAGTCTTCCTTCCGTTAGCTCCTGGTATATTTTTTTTATTTTTTCAACGGATATAAGGTACAATTGCTTAAGTTGATATTTGCGACATCATTGTTTATATAGTATTCCTTTTTTCGGTTATTAATCTCTACTTTTCTAATCGCTTGGCGACCTGTATAAATATTTTTTGTAGATGGATCTAAGTGATGTTTTAAGAATTTGTAAAAGTTTGCACGAGGTCCATTATACACCATGATAATTTAGCTAAATATATCTATATAACAAAACTTGATTTTTAATCTGACTTATCTATTTCGCTTTTGAAGTGTTACAAAAACTGCAATCATCATCTGTGGGAAATCTAATTTCTGGGCTCAGACAAGACGTCATCTTTATTTTATCGACGATTTTTGTCCCTTATTGAATGGAACATCGTATCCGTCTGGTACTTTTTCTTGGCTTTTGTAAATAAATATTATTTCAATAACGCGACCATCTGCGTGTCTACTTTGATATACCTATACAATTCTAAGAATATGTATTTTTGAGCCTTAGCAACTTTTAATTATTACCAAACATTTCGACACAAATTACTTATTGTGATCAGGGCAATAGTACCATTATACTTTTGATCAGCTTTAAAATACTCCCTTTTTCGTTTGTCTGTTATCTTAATGCAAGTGGTAGGCATGTAACAATAATATTACTGTATACACATTTATTTTATCTCATAATAATTTAAGAGGCGACTCATGAGTCACCAACAGCAGACCTACAGCGTTTTACTTCAGATATGTTTTACCTAACCTGGTCCGAAAGAAAATACCACCGTCGTCCATACGTTACCAATTGCATCAAACGACTTCTTCTCAACCAGTGATTGGAATTTAACTTAATTTGACTGGAAGCTTTCCTAGGTGGTGGGGATTCAAAATTATACAAAAGTGGGCTGACTCTCTTGGTGCTGAAGGACGGGGCCTAAAAGAGTATGTTTGGCTAAATTGCTATAAACGCTAAATTTGTTTAGAAGTATTCACTGGAGGTAGGAATTCAAAGTTTTATAAATGGAGGGGCTGGCACTCCAGGGGGCAAAGGGGCGGGTCCAAAAAGGATAATTTGACTATATTGCTTTAAGTATTTTTTCTCTGAAACAAATCTCTACGTGGTAAAGATTCAAAATTGTACAAAGGATGTGTGTGTGTGTGTGTGTGTGTGTGTGTGTGTGTGTGTG